TCGGCATGTATATCGGAACATGCAGCATCTTAGAAATACATAAACAAAACGTGTCCATTTATATGTAACTTAGTCAGACGCATAAAATCTCTGTCATAAAAGTGGGAAAAAAAAAAGGAAATGTCTGTGATTTCCGAAGACAAATAGGTAGCTGAGAAATAGGAAGAAAAGGCTGGTATACTTACTGCAACATGTTGAGTTGTCGGCGAAGTTTATCCAGCTCATTGACATAATCTGCAATTGTTTTATTCTCACTGAAAGTAGAAAGATGAATATATCAGCTCTGTTAGTACACCAGCCTCATTCAGTACATCAGCCTCAGTGAGCACATCAGCCTCGAACACTATATCAGCTCCAGTGAGTACACCAGCTTCATTCACTATGTCAGACTCAGTGAGCACACTAGCCCCCATCCACTATGTCAGCCTCAGGTAGTATACAGCCTCAGTGAGTACACGAGCCTCATTCACTAAATCAGCCTCAGTGAGCACACCAAGCCTCATTCACTATATCAGCCTCATTAGTACAATAGCCTCATTCAGTATATCAGCCTCAGTAAGTACACCAGTCTCATTCAGTATATCAGCCTCAGTGAGTACACAAGCCTCATTCACTATATCAGCCTCAGTGAGTACACCAGGCTCATTCAGTATATCAGCCTTAGTGAGTACACCAGCCTCATTCAGTATATCAGCCTCAGTGAGTAAACCAGCCTTATTCAGTATATCAGCCTCAGTGAGTGCACAAGCCTCATTCAGTATATCAGCCTCAGTGAGTACACCAGCCTCGTTTACTATGTGAGCCTCAGTGAGTACACCAGCCTCGTTTACTATGTGAGCCTCAGTGAGTACACCAGCCTTGTTCACTATTTCAGTCTCAGTGAGTAAACAAGCCTCATTCACTATGTGAGCCTCAGTGAGTACACCAGCCTCGTTCAGTATATCAGCCTCAATAAGTACACCAGCCTCACTCAGTATAACAGCCTCAGTGAGTACACCAGCCTCGTTCAGTGTATAAGCTTCAGCGATTATAAGAGAACATGAATATAAACAAATCAAAACAGTTTGTTAAAATGCGGTTGTTAAACCTTCCTCCCCCCCCCCTCCACCCCCCCCCCCCCCCCTCTTTCCCTTTTAATCCACCAACCACAGCCGTCTCTCTATTCTAAAAGAAGTTAGAAGAGTTCCTCCTGATAATGTGGTCGTGGTAACGATTTTAAAAAAAAAAAAAAACTCCGCAAAGAAGTTTCAAAACAATAATAAACACAATATAGACAACGAACACGGTTTGTAGTATTTAGTGGGCATGTCCATTGCACACAGTGAGAACTAGAGTGAGCATTGCACGGCAGCGAAATTAACGTCCCTTCAGATTATTTGGGGGGGGGGGGGGGTGTTGGGGGGGTATGGGGGGGGGGTCAGTGGGGGTCAGTGGGGGGGGGGGGACCCTTTGGCAAATAGCACAATGTAATTCTTGAAATACTTACATGAATATTTCACTTGAAGAGATTGGAATGAGAATCGTGGTGACAAACTCAGCCGTTTTTAACACTAGACATAACATAGCTAGTAATACAATCATAAAGGTGAGTGACAATTGGAAAGCAAGGTAGGGTCACAAGCCGGGCTAAGAGACGGAAAAAAGTTCCCTGTTGACTTGTCACGTGGTACGTTGTTGGATAAGAACAATGACACGATCTGGAACTGGTAATCGTGGGAGATGGTGAATGTTCACAGTCTACTTCTCTGCACGACATGAGGTGATGATGATAACGACGATGGTATGATTTTGATGACAATGATGATGAAGATGGTGATAATGGTGATGATTGTAATGAAAATAATGATGATGATGGTAGCGATGATAACGATGATGATGATGATAGTAATGATAATGATTATTGTAATGACAACGACGATGCTGATAATAATAATAATGATGATGATGATGATAATGATCAGGATGACGATAATGATGATGATGGTAGTGATAATGATGATGATGATGATGATGATTACAATAATAACGGCTGTTGCGCTGGTGTCAGTGAGACGACAAAATAAGAAGAAGAAGATTATGTTTCCTACTAGCTGTTATACTGTGTAGTTATCTATTTCACCGTTGACCCCCAACGCCCCCCCCCCCCTCTTTTTCACCTTTTTTTAAAAACTTAGAATGCCTCTGTTGCACTGATCCTGAAGATTTGCCCTGTATTTTTCAGTTATTGTTTACGGGCGCTGGCAACTGGTCCAGTCAAACCGGCTGCTGTGAGCGACCATAAAACTATCGCATGACCTTGCTGGCGGTGTCAAGTGACTACTGACTGACAACGGCAATTAAATAAATTAGATCTCTAAACTAGACTAGTCGAATCAGAGCAATCAACATCAGAGTACCACACAAGCTCTGGGAAAAGACAGTTTAGGCAACTAGTCAAAAGAGACATACAGGCAGACAGACGGAGACACAGGTAGACCGACCAACAGTGAAACTGACAGATAGATAGCCATGCAGTTAAGCATACTGATATTCAGTCAGCTCCACAAATACAAATAGAGACAAACAGTCTAGTGCGAAAGGATATTTCAAGATTTGCTCACATCTCAAGTTCGTAGTTCTTCTCGTCCAGCTGATGCTTGACCGTGGTCATCTGACTCTTGATCAAAGCCAGGTTTGTATGGGCGTCGGTCAGCTCGGACTTGAGCATGCGGTTTTCTGCTATCATCTCCTCCAGTCTCTTCTTAAGAGTCACCAGGTGCTCCTCTTTGTCTTGTTTGTTTTCGCCATCCTGCGTCACAATGGGATAATTGAAGACAATCAGGAACATACAACAACATCATGGGTGCAAAATATAGAAAGCTTCTTCTTCTCCTTCTTGGCGTTCACCAGCTGTAAACTCCATTGGAAAGTCCTTGCTTTTCGTCCATTTCTATACTTTGGAATTGTTCAGGGACTCGAGTGCTGCGTGCACATCCGCCTTGCAGATCTGCCTATGGAACATTTGCACATTCTATACGTTTTCATGTAAATCTATTACTGTCACAGCTTTACCACATCTTTACCACAGCTTTGCCACATCTTTACCACATCTTTACCACAGCTTTACCACAGCTTTACCACATCTTTACCACAGCTTTACCACAGCTTTACCACATCTTTACTACATCTTTACCACAGCTTTACCACATATTTACCACGGCTTTACCACATCTTTACTACACCTTTACTACAGCTTTTCCACATCTTTACTACAGCTTTGCCACATCTTTACTACAGCTTTACCACATCTTAACCACAGCTTTACCACATCTTTACTACAACTTTACCCATGGTCTCGACTCTGATGAATCCTGCCGGGTCGGCGCTCAAACTGTGCTCACTACCAGTATACAAAGTACTTACAGACATTCTTCACTGTGAGGGCAGACAATCGACACTCACGACTTGCTCACCCTAGCTGGAGGGCTGACCAGCATGCTCGCTTTGGGGGATGGAAAAAAGGTTATTCTTAATTCCCTGGGCTTTCTGATGTACAGGAACCGGTGAAGCCCCGGGAGTCCCCTGATGCCACAATAAGTGGCTCAGCAAAATCATAAATCGTGCAAGAGTTTCAGAGGTTCCTGCTAGTTAGCGTTCTTTGGATATTTTCTCAAGGTCATGCAGCTGTTAGGTAATTTTGTTATAGTCATCTCCTTATGGGATGTAATTTTTCGTTATTTTGAAGCCCCACCCTGGCTCTTGCCAGGGGTCGCAATATAGCCCAGCTATAAATATGGTCTAATGGTTGAAAGACAGAAAAAGGCAGATCCACGACGCACACGTGAAACCCGGAGATCTAGAGAAGAAGTGCACACAAGACCTGTACATCCTCAAGGAATGCCTGAAAGACGACTTCGCAGCAATACACAAGGAGGTGAAGCAACTCAAAGAAGCCACCCGGCATCTTCAACTCGAAAGCATAAGAAACAACAAAACGAAGATAGCAGCCCACTCAAACGGAAACGACGCCCACGTGAAGTAGCAAGTTGAAAGCCAACATGCAGCAACCAATGAAAACCTCACAAGCCGCCATGACAGCTGAACAACCACGCCCACCAGCCCTGAGAAACCTCACAGCCCACAACCAGATGACATATGTCCGCCGCCCAGCCACGCCCACCTACCTCACTCTGACAGAAGCAACTAACCTCAGGCAGAAATGAACTCGCCACAACAGAAACGACTATAACTGGAGAACAAAACTCCAGACAACAAAACACCGCTTCGATATAACCAACGCTCATTCTAGGAGCCGGTTGAAAGAAGCAAGAAGTTTTTCGTTTTTTTTACCCACACCAGTTACCAGTTACCAGAAAGCGGTTTCCGGGATCTTTCCACGGGTGATCCTCATCCACATGGTGGCACTTTGTGTCACCGGGTGTTTATCGCTTGTGTGATGTCCTGATAGGGTGAAATGTACTAAAACTACTATAACTCTTTTAGGAAATAAGCAGGCTGACAGGTATACCGAGCTAGATGTGGTAAAGGGTCTTTGACAACAAATAAACAATGCAGAGACACGAAGCAATGATTATGGTCAGTAGAGAATGGTACAACTGAGAGTGACCAGCGAGATCTGGCCGACACTCTACACTCAAAGGTAAAGCAAGACGGACACATAATTCTTCTGCTACTGGCACCATCGGTTTTGCAACTTTTTCGCTGGCTGCTAAATATAAGGACGGAGCCCTTATGGGAATGTATTGAGTTTTGTGATGTCAGTTGTTTGCTCAACAGTCAAAATTATCAAGTGATAATAAATGTTTCAACAGTTTTTTTTAAACAGTGAATACATCTGCCACCCATATCTGTAATGGTGTCATGATAGGTCGCACTTCACACTGCTAAAGACAATGTGATGCTGTGTGCAAAATATGAATACAAGCAGAACCAGAATGCTCGCACACACGACACAAGATGACAGCAGACACAAGCATACAGCGCCACCACTCAGATCTCACCTGCTGCAGTTTCCTCAGATTCTGTTGTAACATGGCGATTTCTGAGTCTAGTTGCTTCCTCAGTTCTATCTTCTCTTGCTTCAACTTCTCTTTCTCCTGCATACGAAAGCAAACAACTGAATCTTGTAGAGAAGCATCAAAATTTCCCCCTTGCACATGAATAACAAACTGAATTATGTAGACAGACATCAATTTCTCTTTCTACTGCACACAGCAACAACAACTAAATCATGTATACTGACATCAGTTTCTCTTTCTTCTGCATACAGCAACAACTAAATCACGTATACTGACATCAATTTCTCTTTCTCCTGCATACAGCAACAACTGTATCACGTATACTGACATCAATTTCACTTTCTCCTGCATACAGCAACAACTGTATCACGTATACTGACATCAATTTCCCTTTCTCCTGCATACAGCAACAACAACTGAATCACCTAGACAAACATCAAATTCTCTTTCTTCTGCAAACAGCAACAACAACTGAATCACGTAGACATACATCGATTTCTCTTTCACCTGCATACAGCAACACCTGAATCACGTATACTGACATCGATTTCTCTTTCTCCTGCAAACAGCAAAAACAACTGAATCACCTAGACAAACATCAAATTCTCTTTCTTCTGCAAACAGCAACAACAACTGAATCACGTAGACATACATCGATTTCTCCTTCTCCTGCACACAGCAACAACTGAATCAAGTAGACATAGATGACATTATGTAAAAGAGAACCGTTATTTTACTCAGACAACTTGTGCATTATATCAGTTGTTATGTCCTCTCATCTGCAAGTCCATTCATTAATTGTCTCTAAATCCTGAACCGTCCCTGCAATGTAGCTCTGCTGGTGGTTCCCATGAGGGTTGAGGAGGATCTTACTTTGAAGATATTACCTAAAGCGGATGGACCTTGACTGTTTCAATCTCAGGGATTGTCTTAGTGTCATGCCTGAAAGTGTTCATGTGCCGACATGTTTGTCCTGAACTCATGCCATAGATCTGTGTTTGTGACAGACTGAACCATAGATCTTTGTTTGCGACTGACTGTACCAAAGATCTGTATTGTGACTAATTGGACCATAGATCTTTGTTGTGACTAATTGTACCATAGATCTTTGTTGTGACTAATTGTACCAAATATCTTTGTTGTGACTAATTGTACCATAGATCTTTGTTGTGACTAATTGTACCATAGATCTTTGTTGTGACTAATTGTACCATAGATCTTTGATGTGACTGATTTACCTTAGATCTTTGTTGTGACTGATTGTACCATAGATCTTTGTTGTGACTGATTATACCTTAGATCTTTGTTGTGACTAATTGTACCATAGATCTTTGTTGTGACTGATTGTACCTTAGATCTTTGTTGTGACTGATTGTGCTATAAATATATTTTTTAACTGTCTATGACATAGACCTGTGCTTGTGACTGATTTGAACATAGATCTGTGTATGTCCCTTACTGATTGTACCATAGATCTGTGTATGTCCCTTACTGATTGTACCATAGATCTGTGTATGTCCCTTACTGATTGTACCATAGATCTGTGTATGTCACTGACTGTACTATACAGCTGTTTATGTCACTGACTCTACCATAGATCTGTGTATGTTACTGTCTGTACCACAGATCTGTGTGTGTCACTGACTGTACCATAGATCTGTGTATGTCACTGACTGTACCATATGTCTGTGTGATGTCACTGATTCTACCAGAGACATGGGCTTGTGACTGATTGTAACATAGATCAGTGTATCTCATTGACTGTACCATAGATATGTGTATACTAATGACTGTACCATAGATCTGTGAATGTTATTGACTGTACTATAAATCTTTCTTGTGACTAATTGTACCATAGATCTTTGTTGTGACTAATTGTACCATAGATCTTTGTTGTGACTGAATGTGCTATAGATAATTTTTTTAACTGTCTATGACATAGACCTGTGCTTGTGACTGATTTGAACACAGATCTGTGTATGTCCCTCACTGATTGTACCATAGATCTGTGTATGTCACTGACAGTACCATACAGCTGTTCATGTCACTGATTCTACCATAGATCTGTGTATGTTACTGACTGTACAATAGATCTGTGTATGTTACTGTCTGTGCTACAGATCTGTGTGTGTCACTGACTGTACCATAGATCTGTGTATATTAATGACTGTACCATAGATCTGTGTATGTTATTGACTGTACCATAGATCTGTGCATGTCACGGACTGTACTATAGATCTGTGCATGTCACTTACTGTACCATACATCTGTGCATGTCACTGACTTTACCATATATCTGTGTATGTCACTGACTGTACCATACATCTGTTAATGTCACTGACTGTACCATACATATGTGTATGTCACTGACTCTACCATAGATCTGTGTATGTCACTGACCGTACCATAGATCTGTGTATGTCACTGACTGTACCATACATTTGTGTATGTCACTGACTAATTTTACCATAGATCTTTGTTGTGACTACTTGTACCATAGATCTTTGTTGTGACTAATTGTACCATAGATCTTTGTTGTGACTAATTGTATAGACTGTACCATAGATCTGTGTATGTTATTGACTGTACCATAGATCTGTGCATGTCACTTACTGTACCATAGATATGTGTTTGTCTCTGACTATACCATAGATCTGTGTATGTCACTGACTCTACCATGGATCTGTGTATGTCACTGACTGTACCATAGATCTGTGTATGTCACTGACCGTACCATTGATCTGTGCATGTCACTGACTACCATACATCTGTGTATGTCACTGACTCTAACATAGATCTGTGCATGTCACTGACTGTACCATACATCTGTGTCTGTCACTGACTCTACCATATATCTGTGTATGTCACTGACTGTACCATACATCTGTTAATGTCACTGACTGTACCATACATATGTGTATATCACTGACTCTACCATAGATCTGTGTATGTCACTGACCGTACCATAGATCTCTTTATGTCACTAACCGCACTATAGATCTGTGTATGTCACTGACTGTACCATACATTTGTGTATGTCACTGACTCTACCATAGACTTGTGCTTGTGACTGATTTTAACATAGATCTGTGTATGTCATTGACTGTACCATAGATCTGTGTATGTCACTGACTCTAATATAGATCTGTGTATGTCACTGACTGTACCATAGATCTGTGTATGTCACTGACTGTACCATACATCTGTGTATGTTAATGACTGCACCATAGATCTGATTATCTTACTGACTGTACCATAGATCTGTGTATGTCACTGACTGTACCATACATCTGTGTATGTTAATGACTGCACTATAGATCTGTGTATGTTAATGACTGTACCATAGATCTGTCTATGTTAAAGACTGTACCATAGATCTGTGCATGTTAATGGCTGCACTATAGATCTGATTATCTTACTGACTGTACCATAGATCTTATTATGTCAATGACTGTACCATAAATTGGTGCTTATGACTAATTGTACCATAGATCTCTGCAGATCAATAACTGTACCATAGTTGTGTTATTGGAGCTGATTTTGTTACAGGTGTATACTGTGGTAGCTCGGGTGGCGAGCAAGCTGATGTAGAATTATCCGATCTATCAGTCAACATGGTGCGTTACGGTCAATATTTCAACCCTGGCTGTGGCCACTCCTCTCCAGGTGACTATTTCCCTGTTAGCCTGTATCCTCACGGACATAGCTTCCAGTCTGCCCCACGGGCAGGTGGCGTTGGCTTGTGCGATCACGGGACAGCAGCAGGCTACTAGTTTTGGCTTGTCACCCTCGTAGGAGAGCTAAGTGCCCCAATACTGCTCGCTGCAGTGTCAGGTGTGATTACATCAAGAAAGACCTGGACACAGAACTGGACTGAGTGGACAGGCCTTAGGCATGCAACCATAAAGTGTGTTGTATCTTAACGTCACAGGTGAAGGGGGCTGATCGGACAGTCAACAGAAACTGGTGACCCAACGACACGCAGTGTTACGGGACAATGATGATGATGATGGTGATGACGATGATGATGAGGGTGATGATGATGTTTGATGGTGATGATGAGAGTGATGATGATGATGATGAGGGTGATGATGATGATGATGATGATGAGGGTAATGATGATGGTGATTGTGATGATGGTGACTGAGAGTGATGATGATGATAATGAGGGTGATGATGGCGATGATGAGGGTGATGATGTTGGTGATTATGATGATGATGATTGAGGGTGATGATGATGATGATGAGAGTGATGATGATGTGGATGATGATGATGGTGATTATGATGATGATGATTGAGGGTGATGATGATTGTGATTATGAGGATGAAGATGATGATGGTGATGGTGATGATGATAATGGTGATGATGATGATGATAATGATGATGGTGATGATGATGAGGATGATGATGACTGTGATGGTGATGGTAATGGGATGATGATGGTGATGATGATGATGATGATGATGGTGATGATGATTATGATGATGATGATGATGATGATGATGATGATGATGATGATGATGATGATAATTGTTACCTGCTGCCGAACTTTTTCCTCCACACTTTGCACCTGGTGCTCCATCTCCTCTTCAAGTCTCCGCAAGTGCTTTTGATGCTCTTCTTTCTCT